ATACATCATACTGTAAGCTTTTCTTTTCCTATGCAGTTTCTAATTTGTTGGAAAAATACTGATCTGTGAGATTTTTTTTTAAATTATCTTTATAATGTTTTCCTCTCCTCTATTTTCTCTACACTAATATTGCAATGTTGAAATTTTCCAAATTGAGCCTCTAAATATCTTTTGCTCTTCTAGTCTCTACTGTACTTTTTGTAGGTTCTTCAACTTTGTCTTTTAGACCTTCCATTAAGTCATTGCAGATAGGTTTTAAGTTCCAGAGATTTTTACAGTAAGTCCCCAGGTTATGAACGTATGACTTAGGAAAAACTTGTACTTGCCTTTTAATATTCTGTACCATATTTTCACGCAAATAATGTGCCTATCATATGATATTTTGCAAACTGTACAACTCCCTCATGTATTAGTTTCCTACCTGTGCTATGTGTGTCATACATGTGGGCACACTATGTGAAATTTATGGTAAATTTTCCTTCACTTTGAAAAGCTTGAACCAACTCTTACTGGCAACAAAATGACCATCACTTTCACTTGCTGCACATGAAGCTTTTAAATTATTGAAAAGGTTTCCAGCCTTTTCTTGCACTAAAGTAAGGCTAAATAAGAATCAGATGCACCTGCTGTGACTCTCAACTCCAACTTAAAAGACACACGTAAGAGCAGATCTCTTTAGTAACTCAGGGACTGCCTACGTTGTTATCGTACTGTGGTTATTTATTTATTTATTTTTAAAAGCATCCTATTATTGTCCATTAGGATATCTTGGATGCATTACTTCTGTTATTCCCTTGATGAAATTAATAAGAGTCCACTCCCTACCCTGAGTTGCTTTATGTTGTTTGGTATTTGATCTCACGTTAGAGAATTTTCTCAGATTCTGTTTAAAAGCAAAGGTTGAAAAGGTTGCTTTAAATACGTTTCACGGAGTTTACTGACCTAAGCTTGATTGTAGAGAGATCTTGCCAGGTTAAATTTAAGGATTAAATCTAGATTAGCATCTTGAAGTCTTGCTCCTGGATCAGGCAGATTCCCCAGATAAGATTTTTCCAACTTCCTTCAATTTCCTGCCTTGGGAATAAGGGCCTGGTTCTCATTCTTCTGGAAAACTAGCAGGGAACACATACATGATTTATTCCTCCTCTTTTCCATACTGAACTCCCGCATCTGATACTGCTTGGCATCGCTCAATTTAGAAGCCCTACTGTTCTACTCTCCCCAGAAAAGAAACTAGGTAGAGGAGGGACATTCATTAAGGGAGGTGGGGGGTGGGGAGATCCAGGACTGTAACAACTTCTTAAATGTCTTTAAATCAGTTCTACTTATTTTAGTGTCCCCCCCCTTTGCCTGCAACTGAGACACCTCCCTTTATGCAGTATACTGCTTTATGCAGTATCAACAGGATTGGCTCTTGATCTCTCATTGATAAGAAGTGCTAATTCACATCTGCTTTCCAGCATTCATGGAGCTCTGGTGGCATAGTGCCTAAGGCATTTGACTGCTAACCAGAAAGCTGTAAGTTCAAGCCCACTTGAAGGCTTGGGCAATCTACTTCCGTGGCAATACTGCCTCAGAAACCCAAGGAGGGTTCACTGTGCGTCAGATCCGACTGGATAGCAGTATTATATGATATATAGGTTTTTTTTGAGTATATATATTCCAGCATTCAAAATAATTCTCTCAGTCAATGTGGATTTATGGTTAAAACAAGAAAGTAAACAAACAAAACACAGTTCCTTTATAAACGTCTTAGTGGGATTTTGAGAAGGAGTCAAATTAGTTGTGTATACTCTAGTGGCATAGTACCTAAGGCATTTGCTTCAAATCCACCAGCCACTCCTTGAAAGGACGATTGGGCAATCTACTTCTGTAGTGATACTGCCTCGGAAATCCAAGGAGGGGTTGCTATGAGTTGGATCCGACTCGACGGCAGTGAGAGCCTGGAATCTGTGATTTTTGTTTCTAACCTTCCCAAATTAGCCAATGAAAACCCATGGATCACAATGGTTTGAGCCACACCAATCATGGGGATGAGGTAGGACAAGGCAGCGTTTAGTTTCATTATGTATGGGGTCACCATGAGTTAGGGCCAACTTGATGGTTGTTCACAGTGAATGGTTTAAATCCACTGGGAACCACTCTGTAATAGAATATTTACAATTATTCGAACGGTCTAGAGAGTGTCTTGGTGACTGTATGTAAACTGCACAGACAAATGAAACGGGGATAAAAATGCTTGACTTTATAGTAATTTAATATTGTAAAAAATAGGTTAAATGACGTGTGCTCATTCAAGAGGAATATGTTGTATAAACCTCAGATATACTGTTATCTTCTTTTAGAAAGATAATAATTCACTATTAGCAAGGTGAGTTGCTTTTCTCACAAAAATATTAAGTTGAATGATATGGCTATTCCTTCCCTTGTATTTCTTGTACCTTGTTTACAAGACAGCTTTTGGGTCTGTGATACAGTGTACAGATTAATGCTTCCTCATGACAAACAGTTCACTAAATGAAATGTAATTAAAAGGAAAAAAAAAAAGACTTCCATCTCCTTGTATTTAACTAAAGCAATGAAAACCTTATCTCGTGTATTCTTTGTATATGTGTGAGTATGTAACTGTATATGAATCTTTAATATAAACATTTTATATTTCTTTCTAGGCATGTTTAAAAAAAAAAAAAGGAACAAAACTCACTGCCATCAAGTCAATTCTGAATCATAGCAACCCCTCCTTGGGTCTCCCAGGTAGTATCTCTACAGAAATAGATTGTCCAGTCTTCCTTCCGAGGAGTGGCTGGTGGGTTTGAACCACCAGCCTTCTGGTTAGCAGTCAAATGCCTTAGGCAGTGTGCCACCAGAGCTTGTGAATAGCAAGTTAGCTGGCCATACCATTCAGAAGGGACAGGAAATTATCCTTATGCTACCAGAGCTCCTAAAGAAAGAGGAAAATATTACTTAAGAGAGCTCTCTCTGGTGGCACAGTGCGTAAGGCATTTGACTGCTAATCAGAAGGCTGGCAGCCTGAAGACGGGGAAATCTACTTCCTTAGAGATTTGGAATTGGAAACTCGCTATGAGTTAGAATTGACTCCACGGCAATTTTTTTTTTTTTTAAAGAGAGTGAGGCATCCACTTCCAACTGAAAATCAACTTTTGATAACATAGTACTATCATCTTGAAAGTGTTTGGTAAATATTTAGCTCTCTTTTCACACTATAAAAAGGCTTAAAGTATCACACAGGTAGCTTACAGTTCCTTTGCAGCTCCAAAATGCTGATTCTAGTATCTATGGACAGTCTAGATTCTAATTCTTTTCTAGTTCTTTTCCAAACTGGCTATGTGACCTCAGGCATATTCAGGCCTGTTTTGAACTCCTTCTTATTTATAAGCAGTAATCCCTATCAATCTTTCAATCTTGATTTCCCATTGCTGGCATATGATCAAAAGTAATTTAATTTTTAAAACATTTTAAATATATTTTAATATTAACGTAAACAGTTTTTTGGTGTGGATGCCAGAATTGAGTCTGCATACTTATCAACTGCATGGAAATCTTAACTCCCAGAGTATAAATATATAAATGTATATATAAATGTACCTAACAATAAATGTAATGCAATGTACTTTTCTGTCATTTCATATTGTCAGGTAATGTAAGACCTCCTATTTTATCTAAAAAGAAACCAGTTATTTTAAGATGTAAAACTTCAATGAAAAGACTTTTGAATGTGATTAGAATTTTGCTTTCCTTTTCTTTAATAACTCAAATTATCAAAATCCTGTGCATAACATAAACTGATTTTTATAATATTTCAACATTTGTGATACGGTCAGGTCATAAAATGAGCTCTAGTACCTCACTGTACTGCAGCAGCTGGATTTTTCCACCTCATAGAGGGTGGTATAAATAACAATGGTTGCAAGGTAGAAAGAAAAAGATTTCACATTCTACTCAGATGTATAATATATTGATACGGTAGGATTTATGTATGTTTTGCATGCTTTGATTTATTGCACCTTGGTTCAAGTTCCAGCTTTTGTCACTAGCTTGTTGTGTAAGCTTTGTTGTTGTTGTTATGTGCCGTTAAGTCGGATTAGGCAAATCATTTTACTGGGTGTCAGTGTTTTTCACTTTAAATGTGAGGATAAAACGTGATCAATATAAGTATTTTAAAAAGAAAAAAGGAAATTAATATACAAATACTGCTGCTATGGCTAATTTACTCAATTCTTTAATTGCCTGAGGATGGGGAGAGGTTTGGGCCCTATGCTGTTTTATTTATTCAATCTGAATCCCATCCTGTCTTTTAGAGTCAAAGAGAACCAAGATATTTGCGCATTAGGCCGCATACCTCATCATCTTCACAAGAAACAATCTCCTTATTAATTTTTCTCAGGCTTTGCTTTCAAAGCAGATGCTTATACCCAGATACCTATGACACAAAACTCAAGGCATATTCTACCTTTATCTTCACAATCAAGCTTTTTCTCTCGTGAGGCATCATTAAGACCAGAAACCTATCTAAAATATGAGGTTGCATAATCAGATTGAAATCTCTGCTCTGATGGATTTTTAAGCCTACAGGTGGAAACTGTTCATACCCAGTGGTGACCGAGTGGATAAAGTCAACATTTCTCAAAAGCATGCACTCTGTTAGGCGTCATTCCTTAGACGTCTTCTTGCTACAAAAGCACCCGGAAATGTCAGATAGGTGCTTAGAATAAGAATGGAAATCCTCAGTCACAAATCTGTAGTGTTACTACTGTATATGACACAGGAAATGGCCTAGGGGGTGGGGCCAGTTTTCACTGCCTTCTAGGTACCGCTAGGGATGGTTGTGACGGCCTGGTCCGGTGGGCATTTACTCAGGGAAGGATGAAACACAAGGATGGCGTTTCTGTAGTGTGCCAAAACAAGACCCTATTATAGCCACGCAGGTCTGCAACATGCATTCCTAGGACAGGAGAGCGCGCGCCCATGGGGAACATTACCATCCTGCAGTATGAGGGTGGGCTGCACCGCTTGCACTCGGAACTGCCTGGCCCTCCAGCCAGGACTGGGCGCTCGCACCACCTCGCTATCGGATAGCCAGGTCACCGTCTCAAAGTTGTCCCCGCGAGCTAGAGCTTCGGCCTCAGCGTGGTGCACAGCTACCCGGTCGAATTGGTAAAGGCCCCCGGAGTGGTCGAAGTGCACGTGGGTGGCCACCGCCAGCAGCGGCCGCCGTTCCGCATCCTCCTTGGCTCCATGGTCCTGCAGGAGGCCGGAGGAGTACAGATACTCAGGTAGACTGCGTAGACCCAAGCCTGTGTCAATCACCACGTCCTGCTCCGAGCCACGCACTAGCCAGATGTTGGCGCGGTTGCCAGACTCGTAGAAGCGTTCCTGAATCCAGAAGATGCCGTCGCCCAGGGATTTGTGGGCGTACCATTCAAGCGCCGACATCCTGGGCAGGGGTGCGGCCGGGCGTGGTGGGTGTGGGCGTGGGCGTGTGTGCCTCCAGCAGGCTGGCCAGACCCGAGGCGCTGCGGTTGTGTGGAGCAGTCTGTCCGCAGCCTGGAAGGTGACGCAGAGCGAGGAGGGGCGGAGGATGCAGAGAGGTGCGGAGGGAGGAGTAGGAGGAGGAAAGACACCTCCCGCCAGGCCTGCAGAGCGCAGACTGCACTGCCCACACCCAGGCGCCAGAGTAATAGCGGTGCCTGCAGTAGCCGCAGGAAAGAACGTTAACGCAGAGGATACTGCACAGGAGACCTAGAATAGACTAGCCCTACTCCGGGGGGGCGGGGGAGTCTGACTGCAGAGGCTGGGACAGAAATGTGCTAGGCTGCAACCAGGCGAGCCCGCCCACCTATGCGCCTCTCTGCTCACTCCTCTCCGGCACCGAGAGAGTCAGGCTTACCTGATTGGACGGCGACTACGGCGCCTGCCAAGGGCTAAAAAGCTCTTTGACCAGGGGGTGGGACTTAACTAGGGAGTGGGCAGGGCTAGTTTGTTGGAATCTGAACGCGGTTCTGGGGCCGCGTGGAGGGCGGAGCGCGCATCGCCGAAAGTGGGACCAGCGGGCCTCAGCGTCCGATCACTCTGCTTACACCCTTTCTCTGCCGGCCGGCACTTCTTCTGCATAGTTTTTCCCTCAGCCACGAGGCTTAGTGAACAGGTAAAGAGCAAGCTATCGGGGCCATGGACGAGGGTGAGGACGGTGGAGGGGAGTTAAAAGGGCACGTGGAGTAGGTAAAGTCAGAGGTAGATACTCTTTAAAGAGCTTCTGAGGCGCGTTGTGCGATAGCTTAACCTCTGCTCCTGCTCCCTTCAAAATCTTATAAAACCGTCATTTCCAGTTCTTACCTAATCTCCATTTTCTGGGAGTGTTTGCAGTGAATTAGAAGGGAAATTAATTGTTTTTATTGGTTGTAGGTTTACCAAATACTGTGATTTGGTATATGATTTGTTCAAGTACTAGTCATTGCTGCAGACTTGCAGCTGAGGTCAGACTGTCTGTTTCAACTGTTCACACATAACCGATATTATGGGGAAAGAGGCTGATAGTAAGGTTTTTCTTCTTTTATAAAAAATGAAATTCTATATTTCCCCTTCCCCCACTGTTTTTTCTGGCTGGTTTATCGGCTCTTGGAAGAGAGCAAAGAAAGTTGATAGAAAGGCTGGACTAAGGAAAGGTGATGACAGTTTGTGAGAATGGGAAAAGTGTTTATTAACTGGGTGTGGCCCTGCCAGCCACACAAACCACCTCCACTATTAACGCCCAGTCCCTGCCTGCCCCACATTCACACCCACTACAGCTATTTAATGTTCATTAAGGCTTGAAAAAATTCCCCTGAGAACTTGACTAACCTCCCCACTCAGCTGGAAGAAGTATTAAGGGACCCATGAGACAGCATTATAAAGGATAATTATGAAAACCCCTATTGGCAACTACTAATTAGCCTCGTAGGAGCTCTGGTCGCCACTTGACTGCTAACCAGAAGGCTGGCGGTTCAAACCTACCAGACACTCCTCAGAAGAAATGTTGGGCAATCTATTTCAGTATTAATACCGCCTGGGAAACCCAAGGAGGGGTCGCGTTGAGTCACAGTGGACTTGACGGCAATGAGTTTTAATTAGCCTCCTGGAAAGAGAGGTGTACTCCCCAGTCTTTAAGGTGCTTGGTGGGATATAACGTTTCTGAAGATTTTATTAACCCTTTCATGATCCGTTGGGCCATGCCAACCAACATTTTCAGCCTATAAGTTTTCTTGGTAAGCTGGTATCCTAGTTGTAGTACATGGGTCTGTGTGTCAGTGACCTGTATAACTGCATGAATCTGTAAAAACTAGCCTTACCCCACCAATTCTACCACCAGAATCCACTTGGGACGTATGTCCCCCGCATAATTGTATCAAAAACCATATTATCTCAAAAAAATTTTTCCCTTGATTTCAGCATTACTGAAAACACATGGGTCAACAAAAAATTCAAAATAGAAAATAATTCAGTCATGAAAGGGTTAATCAAGGTATAGGTTATCCAGTCACTACTTTGGTGGCATTCTTTTTTTTTTTTTTTAATTTTGTTTTTGTTGAGAATATGCACAGCAAAACACACACCAATTCAACAGTTCACATGTATAATTCAATGCCATTGATTACATCATTTGAGTTGTGCAACTGTTCTGTCTCCTCTTCTGTGTTGTAGCTCCTCCATTAACATAAGCTCACTGCCCTCTAGGGTTCTTATATGTCTTTTGAGTTGCTGTTGTCACTTTGATCCCATGTAGATAATTTTTAAAAGAGCATAATGCTCAAGGCAGACAGTTTTTACTAGTTAAGTTAATCTATTATTTGGTTTTAAGAAGTCTTCAGGGGGGATTATCCCAGAACATAACTTTGAGTTTATTCAGCCCATTTGAGGGCTGCAAATCTGGGCTAGATTCTGTGTGAAGGACAGATTTGTATATGAAAGACATGATCTGGGTTCTCAGGAATTTGAAGAATGATAATATCCATACACAAATATTTGCAATACAAAGCAATATGGGTTATGTACCACCAAAAAACCCAAATCCATTGCCAGGATTCTGTATCATAGTGATTCTGTAGGACATGGTAGAACTGTTCCATAGGGTTTCCTAGGCTGTAATCTTTACAGAAGCAGGTTGGCAGGCACATCTTTGTCCTGTGGAGCTGCTGGTGGGTCTGAACTGCTTACCTTTCAATTATCAGCCAAGAACTTAACCACTGTACCTGTAGGTCTCCTTATATGTACCACCCAAAACAAAAACCCATTGCCACTGGGTCAACACACAGTAACCTTATAGCACACAGTAGAACTACCCACTAGGTTTTCCAAGACAGTCAAATCTTTGCAGAAGCGGAGCGCCACATCTTAGAGTGACTGGTGGATTCCAACTGATGACCTTTTGGTTAGCAGCCAAATGCTTTAACCATTGTGCTGCCAGAGCTCCTATTATATATACCACAGAGGAAGTAAACTTGAGGTGCTATGAGACTATAAGGAATGGTTGAGGGAGTAGCATTGTTGAGAACCTGCCTTAAAGGCAGCTATTAGGATATTCCCAGCAGAGAAATCAGCTGCTTATTACAGTTTGGGTATTTTCCTTTAGACAGAGGAGAACCTTGGAGGTGAAATGGAGTGATATCCTTATTTGACCATGTGTTCACACTAATTCACCCAATTTTTATTGTACTTTTGCCAGGCTCTGCTAAGTGATGCAGAATCTCTGGTGATGCAGTGATTAAGGCATTTGGCTGCTAACCAAAAGGTTGGTGGTTCAGACCTAGCTAGCCACTCCATGGAAGAAAGATGAAGCAGTCTGCTTCTGTAAAGCTTTACAGCCTTGGAAACCCAGCGGGGGTCACTATGAGTTGGAATCTACTCAATGGAAGTGAGTTTGGTTTGGTTATTGGTGGGTTATAAAAAAGTGAATGAGTCTTCAAGGAGCCCTTGACACTTAAAGATCCGTATGCTTATGTCACACCTCCCCATGGATATCCTTTCCTAGTTCTCTACATGGCTGTCTCCCTCAATTATATCGGGTCTGTACTGAAATATTACCCAGTACAAGAGGGCTTCTTCAACCACGCTTTCTACAATACAGTGATGTTTCCTGCTTTATTTTTCTTTCATATTACTTTTTACTACCTAACATTTTCTATGAAATTGACTTATATTTATTTACTTTATATTTCTCATGCTAAACTATGAGCTCCTTGAGAGGAGAGACTTTGTTTTATCCATTGCTGTATTCCCAATAGCACAACACCCTGACATATATAAATACTTCATGAATGCCTGATTGAAGAGGCTTCCTGGGGAGACTGAACAATTATAGCATAACTATGAAAAGCCATGAAAACGTAGTACTTGGGAAACAGAGACGGGAGAGACTTAACCTACATGTAGTTTGGAAATGGTCATAGAGAAAGTCACATTTGCAAAAGTTGTTATGATATTTTGGGTGGATGGGAGAGAAAGGAAACTTGGTGGAAGGTGCACTGTAAGAGCTGGGAATAGCAGAACTGGGCATGGCTATAGTGTGGGCTGCAAGGAGCAAGAGGTAGAAAGTTAGATTCAAAAGCTTGGTTGGATGTTAGTTAAGGAGTAGAGTGATATGTCAGGATTTATATTTGAAAGGGGGAGTCTGACCATGGGACATTTATTTGTTCTGTTTTAGAGGGCCAAGTGAGACATGGTGAAAGCTTGAACTAAAGCAGAGGTGAAGGGAAGGGAACTTGTGAGAGAAAATTCGGAGCTGATTTTGTTATCAGCTGGCATGGCTAACAATGACTCCATATGTTACTAAGTAGAACTGCCCCATAGGGTTTTCTTGGCTGTAATCTTTACAGAAGCAGTTCACGAGGCATGTCGTACACAGAGATGGTGGTTGGGTTTGAACAGCCAACTTTTAGGTTAGCAGTTGTTCTAGTTACCTGGTGCTGCTCTGACAAGAAATATGCCACAAATGGGATGGCCTTAACAAACAGGAGTTTATTCTTACAATTTGGAGGCTTTAAGTCCAAGTTCAAAGTGCCAAGCTCTAGGGGCTAGGTGAAAGCCCCTCAAGCTTGGGGTTCAGCTCTGCCTCCTGCTCCCGGCCCATTGGAGCTAGAGGCGTTTCTTCACTCAGACAGCTGCTGAGGCTGAGAAGCCCCAAGGTTGACATGTAAAAAGGCACAGTCCCGATGTTACCAAACCACATGGCAGGCCATTAACTTAAGTCCATTGTAAGTCCCAAGGTTAGCAGAGCTCAGCAGGCTGCTGAGCAACGACAGGGCTACATGCAGGGTCCAAGCATGCCATATGCTAGAGGCCATTCTCAAAACTTCTCCTTATATACAGGAAGCAGACCACCTACCCAAAGGCGCTACTCAGCTGCTCTCGGTAGATTCCACCATGGAGTTGATTACCAGTGTCATCATGGGGGAATACTA